AAATAAGGTTTTTACTATCAAAAGATTTGAGTGTAAAATGGGCATACAAAATTCGTTAGTAATAAAAATAAAATAAGAGCTAAGCTAATAATTAAACAATAAATTAGTGCTAAATTAATTTTGTTTTCCCTTTATCTAAAAGAATAAGTTGACAAAAAGGAAAAATATATAAAAGTGACCAAATAAAGGAAAGTATATATAAGTTGATAAAAAGAGATAATGTAATAATTACATAAGATCGTAGTCAACAAAGTAAAACATTTTTCCGATGGATTCTCTCCTTCATAAATAACACAATTCCTATTGTTGCATAAGTCATAAGAAACTTGATTGAGCGAAGGATGATGGCATGTAAGAGTTTGGTTATCGTTCTCATAATCATCTCTCTCTTTGGTCTCCACCAATGTAAGATGAGTGAATCGTTCTCTTCTTTCTTCAAAAACCAAACATAACTAATAGACTTAAACGTTAACCATGTCGTATTACACTTGTGTGCGTTCATACAAAAGTCTATATATATTATCACATTTAATTATCATTAGTCTTTATGAATTTCAATACCTTGTTTCCAGATGATTGTTTTTACAGTTTGAGATAATGATTGTAGGTTACAATGATGATGATCGCGATCATCCGAAGGGAATAGAAAGATGCTTTCATACACAACTGGGAGAGCCATGGAAACTCGACTTTTGGTGCTGTATCGAAGAGCCTTCCCATTGCTTTCCTGAGATCGAACCACAACTGTGCCTCAAAGAGTGTCCTCCGCTTCGAAAAGGACCGTCTCCTTCGCCTGGTGTTTATTTTCACATTTAATTATCAGTAGTCTTTATGAATTTCAATTCCTTGTTGCCAAATNATTGTGTTTTACATTTTGAGATAATGATTGTAGGTTACAATCCAAAGGGAACAGAGAGATGCTTTCATAAACAACTGGGATGGCCGGTGAAACTCGACTATTTGTGTTGTATCGAAAAGGCTTCCAATTGCTTTCCTAAGATGGAACCAGAACGTTGCCTCAAAGAGTGTCCCCCGCTTCGAAAAGGGGCAGCACCGTCTCCTCTATAATTGCTTGATGAAATTATGATAATGTGATAAGTATGACAAGCATTGTAATATAGGTATTGGCTAAGATAACATTTTGTGACC